TGGAGCCTGGCACATAGTACAGGGGCAAGGGGCTTCCCTGCATGTGGCCAGTCCTCTACAACGCCAGGAGTAGCCCTGAGCACTACTGGGTATGGCCCCCAATGCTCCAAAACAGTGTCCCACACAATCTGCTCAAAACAGGCCTGCTTTTTGGCCAGCCTTCCGAATGACTACCATGAAGTCGATATCAGAAAAGAGATCATAGTGCAAAGATGCCTCCTCTACTAATCAAGAAGAAACCTGCCTGAAAATGGCCTTCCGCTTAGCTGCTCAGCAAGTCGGGTCTCTCAGAGAAGGAAAACTGGCTGAAAATCCAAACACATGGAGGGTGGGTGAGATCTAGGCACTGTGTGTCAATGCTATAGCTCACCTGAGTCACCACAAAAAGCAACACAGGCTGAAAAGGCTGCAACATTCCTGAGTTCTGTAAAGGAATTTATTGGAGGGGCGCCAGCAGCCCCCTCTGCATTCTGTTTTTAGTTTTCTATTTCCATTTCACACTCAAGAGCTACTTTCCCAATGGGGGCTGGAGAGAGAACACAGTGGGTAGGGTGTTTGCCTTGCACGCGGCTGACCCGGGTTTGATTCCCAGCATCCCATATGGTCCCCAGAGCACTGTCAGGAGTAACCCCTGTGCATTGCCGGGTGTGACCCAAAAAGCAAAAATAAAAAAAAAGCTACTTCCCCATTAATGAAGAGATTAAGTGATGTACAATTACCTTTTCATTGTTATTTGGGTCACACTCATCAGTGCTCGGGGAATACTCTTGATGAGCTTGGAGGAGGGTGGGGGGGGCGCATATGTGGTATCAGGGATCTCACCCAGGTCTGCCACATGCAAGCCAAGTGCCTTACCCATTGTACTCTCTCTCCGGCCCTGACTTACGATTATTAATGGAGAAAAGCATGCAGAACTATGAGTATTTCCAAGTGAATTCCAGGGAGCAAAGCCGGCAGCATCCAGGGCAGTGCATGAATGGGCCATGTCCTCCCCGGTCACTGTCTCCTAAGGCCACACCTGCTGCACAGACCAGATGGCAGAGAGCTGCTGACCGAGGTCGGCACTTCCAGAGGACACCTCAGAGGAAGTCTCTGGTTCTTACCCACTTCTCTGCTGCACAATCTGTCCTCCTTGTTTTCTTTGTGTGGGGGAGCTTGGGTGGGGGTGAGGGAGGCATCCAGCAGTACTCAGGACTTACTCCTGGTTCTGTGCTCAAGGATCACTCCAGGTGGGGCTTGGTGACCATAATGGGTGCTGGGGATCAAACTTGAGTCAGTCATGCGCAAGTCAAGCACCTTAACTGCTGGACTGTCTCTCTGACTCCTGCCCTGTCCAAAAGAATTCTTCTAAGAGGCTTCACAGTCAATCTTGATATTCTGACTTTTTTTCCTAAGATTTTATTCATTTATTTTTTCTTTTTGAGTCACACCCGGTGATGCTCCGGGGTTACTCCTGGCTTTGTGCTCAGGAATCACTCCTGGTGGTGCTCTAGGGATCATATGGGATGCTGGGAATCGAACCCGGGTTGGCCGCGTGCAAGACAAATGCCCTACCCGCTGTGCTATTGCTCCAGCCTGTAAGATTTTATTATTAAATAAATTCCTTTGCAGAACTCAGGAAACATCATGAGACGTATCTTTACAAAGCTGTTCATAATTTGGTTTCAGTCATACAATATTCCAACACCCATCCTTCCACCAGTGTACATTTCACAGCACCCAGAAGGTAATTATTAATGATGTTCTGAGTTCTTATTTTGCCACCTTCCAAAATTTTATACTAATCGCCTTACTGGTACAGTGATTACAAGTTAGATAAAATAAAAAAAAATACTGGAACTCTAGCCAGTACTTTCTTATGGTAATGACAAATTCGCTGAAACCCAGATTAATGGTAGGATCTATGTGGATGGGTCTACCCTGTCCAAGGCAGAATGCTCAGCCCAGCTGCCAGAGCAGAAGCACCGGGAGGTACCAGTCTTCATGATACATAGTGGTGGTAGCTGCATCGCTCTAAGGAGTAACTTCCTCCTCTGTGCATCCCACCATCTTCCCATCCTTTAAAGTTTGTTTGTACAGGCCCCCAGGCAACTGACAGGCTACATGTGTATTGCAGGGACAGACACCCTGGGAGATGAGAGCTCTGGATTGAGGGTGTGTGTGGGCACGAGCACATGTATGCGTGTACCTGCAAGTGACTCCTGCAAAGCATCCTGCTTGTTCTGCCATCAAACTCCACCAGCAAAGCAAGGCTGAACTAGCTGCTTACACAGGTACACCTGGCTCCAGAAAGTACCAGAAGGGTTCAGAAGGAAAAACCAGAGCCTTGTGTGCTCAAATCACCTGCTGTCAGAGGGAGCATTTGCTGTACATTTAACTTTCTTATTTGAAGTCAAGACGTGAGTTTTAGGGGAATGTGGGCAAAACCCACCACGTGAGCTGCTTCCAAGGGGGTGGCTGAGAGAAACAACTGTCAAGACTGCTTTCTCAGCAACTTTACTTCAGGAAAGGAGAGAATGAGCAAGAATGAGCTGACTAACACTGTTCTCCGTCTCACTGCCAGGAAACCCAAAGGGCAGGTCCTGTCAAAAGGGGGTCATAAAGCAAATATGCTACCTAATGAAAAAAACATTGGAAAGCACATGGCTAAGTCATCTATGTCTGTTCAACAAACAAGAGGACAGCATTCTATTAACTTTTTTTTTTTTTTTTTTTTGGTTTTTGGGTTATACCCGGGGATGTTCAGGGCTTATTACTGGCTCATGCATTCAGGAATTACTCCTGGCGGTGCTCCGGGGACCATATGGGGTGTTGGTCTGAAGTTTTTTCCAGAAGGCAATTATTATTGAGGCACTGAAAGCAAAAGGATTCCTACTTTGTCTACGTATAAGAGACTCAACCTGTCCAAATTCAACTGTGCCAGGAATTGGTACGTTGGGAGAGGAAAAATGAGAAAAGAAGAAATCAGAAGAATTAACAGAGGGGCAAGAAAAAGATGGAAGTTAAAAAAGGCAAGTTATAAAAGGCAGAAGGAAAACAAACAATTGAACATTCTGTGGTTTCTACTTCCTCATAATTCCTACAGATAGAGCTGGAGTGATAGCACAGAGGTAGGGCATTTGCCTTGCATGCAGCCAACATGGCCAACCCGAGTTCGATTCCTCCACCCCTCTCCGAGAGCCCAGCAAGTTACCGAGAGTATTTCACCCACAGGGCAGAGCCTGGCAAGCTACCCGTGACGTATTCAATATGCCAAACACAGTAACAACAAGTCTCATGATGGAGACGTTACTGGGCCCGCTCGAGCAAACTGATGAATAATGGGAGGACCGTGACCGTGACTGTATAAATGATTATCAGGCCTGGTCCCTCTGTTTCCTCTGAGGCTGGACCATATTTCCCTCAAGCACCATATCAGGATACTTTCAATCCACGTTCAAAGAGAAGAAAGCCAACAACGGAGTCACTGTTACTATTTTCTGTGGCACCTGAGTTTTCCTTGGAGGTCTCCTATTCAAGTACTCTACCTTCTCTTACCTTACTTAAGTCATGAGGCCAGAATCCAAGACAAAGAAACAGCAAAAAATACAGACACACACACACACACACACACACACACACACACACACACACACAGTGTTCTGAGAGTGTTCTCTCTCTCTTTCTCTCTCTCTCCCACACATACACACACACATTGTATTCTGAAAGTTTATCTGAAATAGAAAAAACCCCTCTTTTTTACTGATAAATTGTTCTTGATATAAAATCTTAAACATGAGAGAAACTATAGTCAGTGAAATATACTAACACAAAAGTCAACATGACTTGTAAAACTCACTGATCCTCATAATGAAGAAAACGCAGGCAGATGTTATGATAGCTCATAGGACAGCCACCTTCTTCTCCAACTGTCTTGAGTCTCTATAAAAATCTCTTTCTCCAAAGACCATTGGGGTAGTTTCTAAACAAGTCATCTTAAAATGAAGCTTATCTATTCTGTAAAATGCATTGCTTAAGATTGTGCTTTCACCAAGCTGCACACAGAAAGTGCTCACGAGGATTCTAAGAACAAAAGAGTTTGTTTTCGGGACTCTAGCAACTCAGATACAACATAGATAAGAAATATGCTTCTGCAGAAAGTGATGGTGGTCGCTTTCATCCAATTTCATTTTAATTTTTTTCAAACTTGACAAGTTGCTTTTTGCATAATCTCTGTCCTCAATCTTTCAATTCCTTTAAGCTAAAGTTACACACAACTTTCATTTCTCCCCATTTCCTACTCTTAAATCATTACTTGGCTTGTTCAGTCACAAAATGATAAAGCAAAGGGTAAACATACAGATGGAGTTAAGAGCTTCTGGGGCAAAAGACAAATCTGAGCTAGAAACCTCTGTATTAAGTACTTCCAGTTTGATATTCTGTGGAGGACCAACAGAGCCAGAAATGCAGTATCTGTTACCCACCATAGAGCACAAAGCGACCTTAGGAACAAGGAAACTCCATCATGGGTACCCTCCAAGGGCCTCTGATGACAGAAACCGCAGAGGACAGACCTGTCATGGTGTGGTCTGTCACAGTATAGCTACTGTTCTACGGTTCCAGATAGTGCAATGCCAAAGTACACACCCGGCATTCAAAATGGAAAAACATATTATGCTTCCAAAGCCCCAGTGTGGTTTTTCCTATCAGGACCATCAATGCAGAATGGCCTTGGGCCGTTGAGATGACAAAGCAATCAATTATTAACACTAATTAAGTGGCTGGCTAGATACCAGCGATTACAAAATTGATCAGATCCCATCTTACAAATAAGCCAACACAATTTAATATACAATTCATATCCATCTTCATTTTTCAGTCAATAACTATTACTTTACATTTTTCTGCATTCCATTTACTTCTACCTGTTTAGCACATCGTATAAAAAAATGAAATAGATCCGTTCAGTACATTTATTTTGACGCGATGTTTTACAAAGATGACCATGAAAATATGCTTACCTCATCCCACTCTAAAAGGTAGTTGGTGATTTTTGAACCATTGTCATTTGGTGCCTAAAAAAATAATAAGATGAGATTAGAGAAAGCTGTTCACAGATGAAACTTATGAGCCACCTAGTTGATTGATAAATAATGCCTATGATAGTTCTATATTCTTCTCCCAGGAGAAAAGCCCTGGATAGTTCCTGTATTTTCCTGATCAAACAGTAGCATAAGTCAATTCCATGTAGAGTGAGCCCCCCAATTGTCATCAAGTGAACCCCACAAAGAGACAAATTTCTCTGCCCCCCCCCCCCGACCATAACACACACAATTTATGTCCAAGTTCCTCTGGGATTCTTTTAAGAAGCATGTTAAGTTCAAAAGTTGAGGTTGAAACATTTTTCTAAGAAAAGTTCTTTCTGGGTCTGCTGAGGTCTGAATTTCATCCAGCTTTTAAGCAGAATTATGTATCAGTGATTCCCAACTTTAGGTTTCTAAGACCCTTTATAAACCAAAGGGGCTCCCCTTTGGCAATCTCAGGAAGATGTCTTATATTTTCCAAAGAAAACAGGTTTTCATTATTTTCTTAAGAAATACTTCTGTATGTTTATATATATATACATACATACATACATATATATATATATATATACACACACACACACACATATATATGTTTATAGGACACATTTAAAAATGGATGCATATGCTCCAGGAACAAAATAAATGATGACTCTCTGGGTGTTAAAACTCTGAAAAGGTGGGGAATCACTGACCTGGATTATCCCTGGAAGCCAGGAAGGAAAATAAAATAGTTCAGATTCTAAGCCATTTGAAACTTCGTCTTTGTCAAAAAAAAAAAAAAAAAAAAAAGAACACAGTCACTGCTGGCCACGGGCTCGAGAACACAGATGGTCACACGAGAGGGGCCTATCCAAGCCCTGCGTGCTTGATAACTACCATCCTCAACTGCTTTTTTGGCGACTCCCTAGATAAATCTTACCTTCAAGGAACAAAAAGATCAAATACTCCTTTTCTGGCACTGGCCCTCCGAGCATTCTTCTTTTTTTTCACTTATTACTGCTCTCCCCCACATACTATAAATCTATTATTTCTGCTGTTACAAATGTCACTTTTTAAAACCACATTTCAGAATTTTCAAGATTACAGAAATAATTGCTCCAGAGGTGGAAAACAAGCTGTTTTCTAGGAAATGCACAACTCGAACGTGGCAAAGGACAGCATCTTTGGAGCAAAAGTTATGAGTGAAGAGTAAATGGAATGTCATGAAAAATATAATTCTGTCCTAAAAATAATTAGTGATCCCCAGGCCTAATTCGTAGAGATAATAAAGTGGTTTTTTTTTTTTTTTTGCTTTTTGGGTCATACCCGGCGATGCACTGGGGTTACTCCTGGCTCATGCACTCAGGAACTACTCCTGGCGGTGTTTGGGGGACCATATGGGATGCTGGGAATAGAACCCGGGTCGGCTGCGTGCAAGGCAAATGCTCTACCGGTTGTGCTATCACTCCAGCCCCCGAAATAATGAAGTTTTAATGTTACTCATTCCACAAAACATTCGATAGTTTTAAATATGAATTATTTTAGTTACCATTTGAGTGCCTGGCAAGCTACCTGTGGAGTATTCGATATGCCCAAAATAGTAACAATAACGGGCCTCATTCCCCTGACCCTGAAACATCCTCCAATACGACAGTGTTGGGAAAGACGAGTAAGGAGAAGCTGCTAAAATCTCAGGGATGGGACGAATGAGACGTTACTGGTGCCCACTTGAGTAAATCGATGAATAACAAGATGACAGTGATACAACAGTACAGGGAAACCATTTGAAAGAAGCTAAGAGAACTTTAAGATTACCTTGTGCCTACCTCTTTCTTCACAAACCCTTTTTACTAAAGTCTCTTAATGTTCTCAAAGGAATCAAACTCTCAGAAAATCAAACTTAGATATTCGGAATATAATTATAAAGTATTCCCATTATCTGAAAGATAAACCCTGCCAGTTCCTCTGTAAAGAAACCTAAAGCTGGGAAAGCGGGTATTGCAGTTCCCTTTTCCATTCCTTTGCCCATTTTCGTAGAAAGACGTGGTACCTTTTGATACCAGCATAATATTTCACAACAACCAAGAAGAACATCAGACATCAGTCGTCCGGAATAACGTTAAGTGGCTCAAGATTTCCGCCTCGTCCCACACTCCAAGTTACTCACTTTCCATTGCAAGGTTAGCGAGCTCTTGCTCCGATGGGCCAGCTTAGGCGGGAAGGGACACTCGGGAGCGCAGCTGTGCGTGGTGAAGCTGACTGGCTCGGAGCAGGAGCCCTTCACAGAATTGTACATGGCGTACACCCTGCAATCGAAACAGGCAAACACCGTGAGTGGTAGTGGCCGACACAGCGCACCAGGGTTTTTAATCTTAGACTTTACCAGGATTTCCCATCAAACAGAATTTTCTTGGGTCATGAACACTGTGACTCTGCTACTTATCTGTATTTTTTATTTTTTTTATTTTTACTGAATCACCGTGAAATACAGTTACAAAGCTTTCAAGTTTGAGTTCCAGTCATACAATGATCGAACACCCATCCCTCCACCAGTGCACATTTCCCACCACCAATGTCCCCAGTAACCCTCCGCCCTCCCCCACCCCACCCCTCCCTCTGCCTCTATGGCAGACAATTTCGATCTTACTCTCTCTACTTTGGGGCATTATGGTTTGCAATACAGATACTGAGGGGCCATCATGTTTGGTCCTTTCTCTACTTTCCACCTGCTGTTTCTGCCCAGGCTTGTCAAGGGTCAGCATTTCCAGGGGACAGCCCCGCTCCCTCCCTAGGAGGGAAGAGCCCCCACCCCCCCAATCTGCCTCTGGCAAGTATTCTCTCTTCCGCTAGGAACCACCAATCTCATTTTAGACAGGCAGAGTCTACTGACTAGAAAAGAATGTGCTATGTACAAAAATAAATGTTAGCCCCAGAATATTCTCCAGAGACATTCTAAAAATGAAAAAGCCTTGATTCTGGAAAGGAACGAAAGTAAAAGAGTTGGGAGAAAAGGAGAAACAAGGAAGGATGAGCAAGCACAGGCGGGAGAGAGCATACGAGGGAAAACAACAGAAGGAAGAGCATCTCCGAATTGTTTTCATGAAACAACAATATTTAGGAAGAAATACTAATGTTCAAGAATAACAAGGCATGGCTAGTAAGTGTGTCACAAATTCAGTGATGCTCTGGGACAGTTTACCTATGGGAACCTTTATGTATTGCATCTAAGCCAATACTACAGCTGTACCTCTGCACATTGAAAGGTTTGGCTCAACCTTGAACATGTGTGCCTGGTATCTCCAGAGATGGTGTGAAGAAAAGCTCAGAAAATACTGAAAAATAAAAGATTCTCTTATGATAGCAGAAAATAGACTAAGTTGATTTTTAGCATCTTCCTTTCTCTGTCTTTAAAATGCTGAGCATTTAACAATGTTTAACTCAATATGTGAAAACATATTCTTTTGAAGAGAACCACAGAAGGTCCAGGAAGATAGCTCCAAGGGCTATTGTGCACGCTTTGCGTATGGGAGGTCTGGGTTTGAAACCCAGCATTGCAAGGTCCCCTGAACACCACAAGGAGTGGTCCCCAAGCATCGAACCAGGAGTAAGCAGCCTTTGACCATTGCCAGGTATGGCCCCCTAAACAAAATAAACCAAGGAAAAACAACAACAAAGGATTTCTGTGGCTTAAAAAAGATGCAAAGATTAAACTATTAAGAATTATTTCAAGAGTCTGCATCAGGCCTTCAATTTCTATAAACATCTGTTCATGAAATCCTATTAAAGGCAGAAGAAAACCCATACTAGAGAGATGGAAGGAAGTTTCCTAAAGACTGCACAGCTAAAGTTTAAATGATTTACTGTATTGTCTGATGTCCTCACTCACTCAACAATCATACTTGTTGAAATACCCACAAAACTACTTCCCCTCACTCTGTCCAGTGAATATAACAGTGGAAAATAACAATATTATGGGAAAATAGGTCCTACATAGTAGGTATGCAATCAACATAGTCCTTCCTTCACAAAGTTCATTACAGAAAATTCAGAGACTGGTCATGTAAAGAGACACGATTACTTTCCAAAATACCTAGGTACTAGATAGCTACCTTAGTTGTCTTGTGGGAGGATCCTATGATGTTTGGTGGGATATAACTATTTGAATATACTCTATGAAACTTGATGAAAGAAATGCTCTTTTTTTTTAAAAATTGCATTCACTGTAAGTAGGCACAGAAAAATATAAAACTGATCAGTATTATTTGCAAGATCATTTCTGTGTAATCAGGACAAGCTCAATGGGAGTCAGTTACATAAAATGAATCTAGAGTATTATAAGCATGGGCAGGGATCCAGCTTTAATTTATAGATCAGAATTCTCCATTTTACATGACCATTAAACCAAAGCTGAAAGTAATTTTGGAGATTCCTCGAAAAGCAAAAACAATAAAGGATGGCTGGGGAAAGAGTTTCACAGACAGACAGACAGACAGACAGACACACACACACACACACACACACACACACACATACAAAACACAGAGAAATGCACATACACCCACACAAAACAAGCAAACAGAACCCCCCCCCCCCCCCCCACACACACACACCCCACTCCCTTAGCTTCCTTAAAGAACTAAAGTTCTAGAACACACTCGAGAGTCCTAAGATAAGGGTGAGAGCAGCACTGCTTTGGAGGGGACAGGTAGCATGCCCTGCAGATACCAATACCAACCACTCTCATCTATCACCTCAGGGCTGAGACTGCTGTGAGCTGAACTGTGCTCAAGGACTTTGGCGCAGAGGGTCTTAGTTAAGAATCTCTATGATCACTAGACATGTGCCTACTAATCTGTGCCATACTGTGTACACTGGTTTCACAAAATTAGTGCCCCAAATCCATCAGGATAATAGAGCAGAGGAAAAGCAGCCGGGAAAGGGCATGCCAAGAGCCAGCAGACTGGACTGCGGGGAGACACCGGCAGGGGATATGAACTCGGTCATGTTTGTTTTTTCTCTTCCATTAGATTCTTGGAGTCTGAAATTCACAGAAATTAGGTGAGAGAAACAAGAACAATAGAGGAGGGTCCTGGCAGCCTGGCTGGGAGGATATCAGATGGGATAAAACAGACTGACTGGCAGAAGACAACAATCTGAGGCAGCTGAAAATCTGAGGTCAAACGAGTCACATGGAATTATTTTCCCTATGATTAAAAATTTAAAAACAAAGAAAAAACATCAAAACTACAGTGGATTCTTTTGCACTGGTAAAAGTACTAGGAAAACAAGATCCATTTATATGGTAATGTAAATGCCTTGAAGACAGTACTGGAAGTTTGACATAATTTCTGAAAGTCCTAGCCTATGACTACATTTGTGAATTCCATTGATTGGTAAATACGTAACAATTAGTTACAGTATCAACGAGTTCTGTTTTTACCAATAACTTTGATAGAAAAGTATTGAGAAGTAATACTACATTTTCAAAGATGTTATTTTTTTTTAGAATTTTAAAAAAAATTTTATTAGTGAGACACCATGATGTACAGTTGTAGACTTACAAATTTTGTGCTTGGGTTTCAATTATACAATGATCAAATAACCATCCCTCCACCAGTGCCCATTTCCCACCACCAAGGATTCCAGTATCCCTCCCACCCCCATCCCCCCCACCCGCCCCCCCCCCCCCCCGCCTCTGTGGCAGGGCATTCCCCTCTGTTCTCTCTCTCCTTTTGGGTGTTGTGTTATTTTTTTCATAAGAAGGTGGTATTTTCTCCCTAAAAATATCATCATATAATAGAAGGATCTGTTTCTAAGACTCAATAAATCAAAACAGTTGAATTTTTTTGCATATATCCCTGGACAGAATACCCTTTTTCTAAGATTATATTAAATTTATGTAAGATTTTCACATTTGTTTCAGCTTAACTGATGCTTATGAAATAGGTGCCCCAAGAATTTTGAAAATTCGCTTCCAGCTTCCTCCAGCACACTGTTAACTCACTAGGACCCACAATTTCTGGTCAATAACACCTATTTCGTAACTCTGTACTGAGCTGGTCAACCATAGTTTTGGAAATGTTACATCACATCATTTTTCTGGAAAAAGCTATTACATGATATCATCTATGGGCAAGTTCTTGGCCAAACTGCTTAAGCCACTGACTGGAAAACCACTTTTAATCATGAAATTACTATTCAACAACATTTAAACTGTAGACTGTTCTAGCCACTGATAAAAAACATAAATTCTTTTTCCTTTCTGGCTTTTTTTTTGGGTCACACCCGGTGATGCACAGGGGTTACTCCTGACTCTGCACTCAGGAATTACTCCTGGCACTGCTCAGGGGACCATATGGGATGCTGGGAATCGAACCCGGGTTGGCCGTGTGCAAGGCAAATGCCCTACCCACTGTATTCCAGCCCCTAAAAACGTAAGTTCTTTACTCCCATAGAAAACTGGTTATTTCGATGCTAATATGATTGATTAAGTATCAATTAAAAAAACATGCTTCTTTGCTTATGTAAAAAATAAGCGATATGTTAATATAAGCATACTTACATATAAGTACTATAAAATATTATTTATGCATTGATTTTTCATCTCACTTTTCCTTCCTCAAGGTATAGTCACAACCATATACACATTGTATAAGCACAAGCTTTCTCACATACAAGATTTTCTATTTGTGGTTTTATATAATACATAAAATATAACACTCTGTGGAAATACCAAATAATTATATTTTCATAACCACAGAGTTCTCATATTCAACCATTACTAACTCCTCTTAGAAAGCAATCTCTATAAGAAATCAGTGACAAATATGAAAGTGATAACTTAAATAAAAAGTAAATTCAAGACCAAATACCTAAGGTTTTCAAATCAATAAAGGAAGATTATATAATCACTAGGGGAGGAAAAAATAGTTGTTGGATAAATGTGTAGCAATAATACACTAGTACTTTTACCAGTGCAAAAATAATACACATCAGACTCCAATAATACACACACATACGCACACACACATCACAAAGTGAAAAGGAAAAAAATCCCTTATAACCTGAAATATCCCAGGACACATATTTTCAGCAGTTGTTATGTGTCCTGGAATACGGTAGGGCAGGAGCGAGAGCTCTGCCTCAAGGCTGACATTAGTCTCTTATAAACTATTTCCAGTAACAGAGCGATAATGGCCAGAAATCAAGAGCTATTCTTGCCTGGTAACTGATCTCATGCACCAGAGAGCTCAGTGGCAGCACTCTCTGATGGAGAGACAGATGCTGCTAAAAAAGTATTGAAAAG